GCACGGGGCCATGAAGGTCTGCGCCCACGAGCGGCTCTTCCACTCCTACTACTGCCAGGGGCCGGGAGGCGACGGCAAGTGAGCAGGGACGCACGCCAGGACGGCACCCATGGCGCCAGGCTGCTGCAGCCATTCCTCTGTGCCCTGCCCGTACCCGCAGCCCTGTCTTGCAGCAGCTGGGAGCAGCCCCGGGGGTCCCAGCATCCTTCTCCCCCTCCCCAGGGCGAGGTGGGGCCGCAGGACCAGCTGCTCGCCCAGCGCACACGCGGGTCACAAGCAGCACGGTCCAGAAGAGGCGAGCAGAGGGTGGCACCGGGCTCTCGCCTGGGGTCTCCTGAGCCCGAGCGGGACCCTCTGGGTGCCCACCTTTGCAAAGGCTTACAGTCAGACCCAGTGGCCTGAGGGCATTTGTGTCAGAGAGCAAAGAAATCTCTGCAGCAGACATGGTCTTTGAGAAGACAGAAGAAAGATGCGTGTTGGGTTTTCCTGAGGGCAGCCGGCAGAGCGATGCAGCCATGCTGGTGCCAGCTCCCAGCGCTACGTTCACCAGGGATCGGTGCGCTTTGTCCTCCCGTGCCTGGGAAAGCTGCTCTTTGAGCGTGTGTCCAACACGGCTGCGACCAGGACTGATACACCAGCCTCGACACTGGAGACGATCGGGGCTGAGGCGCAGCGGGTCAGCTTTTAGCAGCCGCCGCAGGGCTTGGACCTGCTAGTTGCATCAGGGCTGCTGAGGGCAAGGTGCCCCAGCCCCGGAGGGAGGCATGCGGCCTCCAGCACAATCCCAGTAATGAAGTTTTTAATCTCAGCTGGGCTGAGAAAAAGGTTTTCCCCCTTTTGGCCAGCAGCAGCCAGTTGTTACGCCAGGCCACAGCCCCACACGTCAGTCCTGTGCCCAGGAGCCAGGAGCAGCTCACCCAGGAGCACAGCTGGCAGTTGTCTGGGACACAAAGGCAGGGAAACCCCTTCTCCCTTGGGATCCCTTCCCTCTGACCACAGCCTCTCCCACTGCCCCAGGGCAGGCGTCCCACGGGTGTTCTGTTTTACAGCATCCCCACGGGTGCATGTCTCGTACCAGCCAGCCTCCGAGCACAGCACCCACTGCGTCCGTGGGCAGCCTGGGAGCCCCTGGCAAGGCTTCCTCTCTGGCACAGCAATGATTTTGTACAGTCCGATTCCTCTCCGGGGTGTGGGATTTTGTTACACAGGTAACAAGGGGTTTATATCTGGGTTTGTTTTCAAAATAATGTATGGCCTAGAGCATTTTATACAAAATGTTATAAAAAAATAAAAACTAAAAAGCTTGTCCTGCTTAAAAAGAAACTGGCCTGAGAGCACCCGTAGGTGCTGGCAGTCGGCAGTGGTGGGAGAAAGCCCAGTGTAGCTGACTGGGCTCCTGCTGGAGTCTGCTACAGTAGATGACTTTTCCCAATTCTATAGTCACAGTTTTGAGCATCTTTCATGTCATGAAGAGAGCCAATCAAATGGAAACGAGAAGGTAGGGCTGTTAGTCTCCAGGTTCGAGCACAGCTCCTGTCATACCCCCCAGTCTCCTCCTCTCCTGCCGCACAGCTGGGGAGATCTGCACAAGCAAGCAGACAGCACAAGCTTGGAGGGGAAGCCAGGGGCAAGGCGCTGCTCCCTCCCTCACAGCAAGCACAAGGGAACCACGAGAGGCTGGACGCTGCGGCGAACAATCTTTAATCAAGTTATGCAATATACAAAAGTTTAGGTTTCATGTAGATTAATTTCAGTATTAAAAGGCTGATTGCTCAGTCTCACCCTAAGGCATGTTAAATACCTTACCTGAATTTCTACAAGAGGAAACAAAAGCCTAGGGCATCAGCACAGACATGTACAAATAACTTACATGATAGTTCTGCTCTCCCTGTGCTTTGTTCTCTCAAGAGAAGGCCCAGGAGCCTCAAACAAGAGGGTTGGGTTTTGAGTCAGGCTTTTGGCTTTGGGAAGTTACAAAAAAAAAAAAAAAAGACTAGGTGGGCAATTAAAAAATAAACTTTCTAATAGGAGTGGGGAGCAAGAAACCTTTGGGTAGCAGTCAGAGTGAACAACGCCATTCCCACAGCATCAGGGGCTTCCTCGTGCCAACTAGGCTGTACCCTGGAGCGGGAGCCCCGCTACGTGATGGGAGGCTACAGCGCGAGCAGGGATGCTACTAAACCTCCCCAGCCACGGCTGGGACAGTTGGCACAGATGTTGAGTCCATCGAGAACAAGGTCTAAGCAGAGGGTTTCACACGGGCTGAGCCAGACTTTGAACTGAGGAGCTTCTCCACCATGGTGCGAGCATAGCGGAGCCGGCTGGCCAGCTCCTTGCAGCATCCGTGTTCCTCAATGAGGCTCAGCTTGTACGTGCGGAAGTCCCGTTTCTCATCTATGTACGTGACAGCAGCCATGAGAGGGCACAAGATGACTTTGGTGTGGTCCTGTGGGGAGAGAACACACTGTCACCCCGAGCACTCTGCTCCTCGGGGACTGCGTTTGCTCAGGATGAACCATCTCTAAAGCAGTCGGGGCACCCCAGCTGCACCCAGAAGCACGCTGACAAAGCGCCATGCTGCAGCATTCGTTCATAGATTGCAGCAGAGGGCAACAAATCGAGCTGGCCAGCCAGCTCAGGACCACTGCACCTAAGACTGTGCAGCAGTCTTCCTCCTGCTAAAGGACACAGCCCTGTCACAAGGCAGGAGTGTCTGGGTGGCTTACGCACCAGCAAGGAGCCTCCCAGCGCTCGGTTCTCTGGGCAATGTTTTGGCTCAGGTTTATACCCTCCTGCTGGCTCGCCTACAACCCTGGAAAACACAGAGCAGCAGCCTCACCTGGAAGAAGTTGATCTGCACAGTGCCGTTGCTGAGGTGCAGGATGATGGCGCTGCGGGTCCGGAACCACGTGCAGAGGTAGGGCAAACGGGCCAGCTCGTCTCCTTCCCGCGGCGTGATGTTAGCACCCGCCTTCAGCAAGTGCTCGCTCATATAGTTCCGGAAGTATTTCAATAGTGTTATCTGCAGACAGGAAAGGCTGTGAGCAGATGGGCTGAGGATGACCCCTGCTAGCTGGGGAGGGCAGGGGCTGCCCTCCCCGTCCCAGAGCCTCCTTACATCTTTCAGAGCTTGAGGTGTCACTGCACAAACTCGTGCAAATTCTCATACTCAAAAGTTAACTCGGTCTGTGATACCTGAGACTCACTTTGCTGAACACTTTGGTACATGCAAGTCTTGTGAGCACTTAATTCTGTGAAGCTGCTCGTAAGTGAGCCTCAGATAGCAACTAGAAATAGATAGAGCTGCTGCCATCTGTCCTTGGGGCCATGTTTTACCAGCTAAGAGGAAGCCTGCAGAATACCAGTGACCCTTAGTTACAGATGATTCTCGCTGGGACTCACCTTGCCAACAAAACCCAACAGGGCTGGCAGAAGTCTCACCAGGAGCAGCCACCCCCCCACCGAGGGCTCCTGTCCCCAGGACTGACCTTCTTGTTCAAGGCAGAGGGGTAGGATCTCACAGTGAAATAGGACTCGGTGCCGTTTTGCTCGATGTACTGCAAGCTATCCCCATCGTTGTACATAATAAGACGAGTGGAGTCGTTGAAGAGCACTCCAACGCTGTTGTCACACAGCTGGTAACCTAGTTCAGAAGGGAGCCCATTAGGCCTTCAGATACGTGGGAGCACCAGTTGCGTGAAATACAAAGGCAGAAGGTTGCAGCATCTAGGGGTTCCCTGACAGCCACCCCACCAAGTCCAAAGATTCTCCTCTTTGCGGAGGTCTGGGTGGCACCCTTCCTCCTCTGGATTTGTCATCCTCCCTTGTTGCATCACCTGCTGCAGAAGCAACTGCAGCTGCCACAGCGGGTACACGTGCTCGCTGCGGAGCGAGGCCAGCCATCTCAAGCAGCAGGTCACCATTTTCCACCTTAAAGTGGCCAGGGGTGATGGTCAGTGACCACTACTCTGGATTCACTGGGTATTTGGTAATGTTCCCGGTGGTGGTCTTGGACACACACACCGGAATACCGCGATTCAAGAGCCAGACCTACACAATGCCCAAATCAAAGCTTCCCCCAGCCTCTTCAGAAACTAGAAAAGGCTGAAGTACTGGCCCCATATTATTTACCTAGACCATATTTATCCGAGTAGTCCACCCATTTGCTAACCCAGAAGATGGGAATGCAGGCTGGGTCTTCGGCTTCTTCTGCAAAGAGGAAAGGAGTTTGTCAGAAGACATTTCACGGCATCCTGTGCACCCCAGCAAGCAAACAAGGCCAAAAGGAAGGCAAGTAGCTACTATATCGCTTCTCAGCCTTCCAGTCTGAAATTGAGGTCAGCTGGTCTCTCACTTAGACAACAGCATCAGAATGACAGAGAAGCAAGTTATCCAGGAAGGCCAGTGCCTGTGGGATGGTCCCCAGACTCACCTTGTCTCACTGCCACTCTCTCGGAGGGCTTGGCCGAGTTTACGGCAGTCAGCTGCTGTAACATGTCTGCTAAGTGACAGTCGACAGCATCTCCCAGCTCCCGCAGCCCGGCTACGTCTTCCTTTTCCGGCAAGTTCTCTAGTGCAGGGCTGTCTGGTCCTGGGCCAGGAAAGAGAAGAGTAGACGCATGACCAGGGAGCAGGTTTCTAAAGGCACTAGATTTACATTCTACCTTAGCTATAAGAAACACATGGTATACCATATAGCTAAAGCTAGCGCTGGCACTCCCTCCCTGCTTTAGTTCTGGGCAAAGAGCGAGGAGACCCCTCTCTCGCTCACAAAATGCTCCAGGTTTTCGTAAGAATTGGGAGAAGAGGTGAGGGAGTGCCACATTCCCCACTGAGGGTTCTGGATGTTGCTGGAGGCCAGGCAGGCTCTCACCCAGCACTGCAGTCCAGCCTCACCTCGACACTTGCGCCTACCTTTGTTGAGTGCAGTCAGTGGCTTTCGCCCGTTCAGTTCAAGTCCACTGGGAGCAATTGAAAATCTAGGTGCAACGGTGAGGCAGCTGGTGGGCAAGCGGCTGGGGATGTATCCCGACGTGAAGAACTCGTCATTCAGCAACTCGTCGATAGTTGGGCGCGTGGCAGGGTCAGACCTCAGCATCTTCTGGATGAGGTTAGCAGCTACGGGGTTGATGTGCTAAGAGGAGACAGGCAGAGTTTAGAGACAAGGGTCAGGGGACAACATGTGCTAGCAGCAAACGCATTGGATGTACAACCCGGGGGAAGTTCTGCTTGGAGCAGAGCTCCTGTGCTGCATCAGGCAAGCAGGATGAAAGCCTGGGGACAAGGAATTGGGCAGGCACAGAGAGCTACCTCCTAACAGCATGCAAAGCCTAAAGTCAACTGACTTAGCAAGACCGAATCAGCAGCAGCAGGATGAGCTGGGGGCCCAGACCTCACAGACTCGAGCACATCCATCTAACCCCATGTGCCAACCGCCCAGCTCAGACTTTTGCTGGATTACAGGGGTGGGGGAAGCTGCTGGCTCCCGAAGAGGAAGCTGGCCTACAGGTTCACTCCACCATGGACCAAAACATCCCCTTCCCTAGCACTCGGCAATAAGAGCTGTTTCAGTGTTATGTGAGAGCCCAGAGACACCACAGACCAAAACATCCCCTTCCTAGCACCCGGCAATAAAAGTGATTTCAGCATTACGTGAGAGCCCATTAAGTGCAGAGACAGGATGGTGCAGCAGAAGGCTGACCGGGAACTGCTGCGAGGTGAATGAATCCAGCCATGGGAAGTGCCATACCTTGGGAATAGTATACTCGTTCTTCTTGATTCGGATGTATGTTTCTTTTAGACAAGAGGTTTCAAAAGGCGGTTTCCCCACCAGCAGAGTGTACCTGCGCGTTTACAGACAAAATGGTGTCAGTTTTGCAAGAGACTCTGGGACTTGTGTGCAGGAGTGCCCCTGTCCTAAGCACACCCTGGGACTTTCCTGGCAGAGGGAACGCACTCGGCATTGGACATGCTGTAGCACAGACAGCTATGTGTACTGTGCCTGGTTCCTGGCCCTGAAAAGGGAAGCTGGGATCTAGTAGCCTCTGGGGAAAGCTCCAGTTAGGAAGTGTGAGCTTTTGGGAAATGCCTCGAGACAGCCATGCTGCACAGCATATCAGCCTGCAGATGCACCAGAGTGTGTGGAGCACGGGGGAGGCTGCGTGCTGGCTGGCAGTGGGCTCAGCCAGGGCCGGGGCTCTGGAGACAGCACGCCCAAAGCCCTGGCTCACACCAAAACCCAGAGGGTCCAACGAGACCTGGACCACAGGGACGGCCCAGCCCGCGGCACGGCCGCACAGAGGCATTTTGACTCACATGATGCAGCCGATGGACCAGATGTCCACCTCAAAGCTGTGCCCCTTCTTGCCCAGCACCTCCGGGGCAATGTAGTTGGGGGTCCCGCACAGGGTCTTCTTGCGCTCGCCGTCGTACTCCACTTTGGTGGCCAGGCCAAAGTCACCTGGGAGAGATGGGGTATGACCGGAGATGCCCCGGGTGGCTGGTCCCCAGGGCTGGGGTCCCTGCCGTGG